GATATGTAACCCCTAAGCTGCCACCTAGCATGCGCCTACTCTGCACCTATACTGTATGTTGTAAGTCTCCTCCCATCACCTCCAATAGGGTTACATGCATTCAGGCATGGCACCCCAAAGGCTGTCACGTAGCCTGAGCCTAGCCTGCAACAAAGGACACCTCTTATTCGCCAATTGGGGTGGCGACACCATTCATTTTTGTACTCTTTCTCCAAGTCCAATGGCGCCTCCCTTATTGTCCAATCATGATACATGCATGCAGATATGTAACCCCCTAGGCTGCCACCTAGCCTGCGCCTACTCTGCACCTATACTGTATGTTGTAAGTCTCCTCCCATCACCTTCAATAGGGTTACATGCATTCAGGCATGGCATCCCAAAGGCTGTCACGTAGCCTGAGCCTAGCCTGCAACAAAGGACACCTCTTATTCGCCAATTGGGGTGGCGACACCATTCATTTTTGTACTCTTTCGCCAAGTCCAATGGCGCCTCCCTTACTGTCCAATCGTGATACATGCATGCAAATATGTAACCCCCTAGGCTGCCACCTAGCATGCGCCTACTCTGCACCTATATTGTATGTTGTAAGTCTCCTCCCATCACCTCCAATAGGGTTACATGCATTCAGGCCTGGCATCCTAAAGGCTGTCACGTAGCCTGAGCCTAGCCTGCAACAAAGGACACCTCTTATTCGCCAATTGGGGTGGCGACACCATTCATTTTTGTACTCTTTCTCCAAGTCCAATGGCGCCTCTCTTACTGTCCAATCGTGATACATGCATGCAGATATGTAACCCCCTAGGCTGCCACCTAGCCTGCGCCTACTCTGCACCTATACTGTATGTTGTAAGTCTCCTCACATCACCTCTAATAGGGTTACATGCATTCAGGAATGGCATCCCAAAGGTTGTCACGTAGCCTGAGCCTAGCTTGCAACAAAGGACACCCCTTATTCGCCAATTGGGATGATGACACCATTCATTTTTGTACTCTTTCGCCAAGTCCAATGTCGCCTCCCTTACTGTCCAATCGTGATACATCCTTAGGCTGCCACCTAGCCTGCAAGAGTGACACCTTTCATTTTTGTACATGCATGCATATATGTAACCCCCTAGGCTGCCACCTAGCCTGCAAGAGTGACACTTCGCATGCATGCAAGCACCAACAACCACTATATGAATTTTTTTTGCCTATAAATATATACCATATCATACATCTCTCACACCCACACAAGTCTCACTCTCTGCTACGAAATCTTTCATAATCTCTTACACTTTATATGTCTTTCATAGTCTCTATCTTCCTAAGTCTTTCATAATCTCAAGCATTTTAAACAATGACTCTTCTAACAATGGGCGATTCTCACAGAGGCATAAGGGAAAACATTGTCGCATTTGTAAGTTTCTATTTTGGTTATACATTTTCATACTTCAGATAATGCTTTGTTCGTCTTACTTAATCTTACACCTTTTACATTATGAACTCAGGACACAAAAAGATTCAGAATCCGTTCTCACAACTACCTGGCTCCCGACCCATTTATCGTACCATATCTGGAATACGCAGGTTTTGGACATGTCATAAAGATCTCCAACTGCACCATTGACTCGAAGTTCATTCTTGCAATGTTGGAAAGGTGGAGACCAGAGACTCATACATTTCACCTACCAATAGGTGAATGTACCGTCACGCTAGAGGATGTGTACATGCTACTAGGTCTCCCTGTCGACGGTAAGGCCGTGAACGGATCGGTTCAACAACCCAACTCTCAGTGTGAAGAACTATTGGGCAGGGATATGGTTGAAGGTGGTGGTGCGAGAGGTCAGGGAATACTACTCACTGAGCTGAAAAGTCATTATGCAAGTTTGGAATTAAACGAAAATTCCTCCGAGCAAGACAGGGTAGTAAAAGCCAGAACTTATCTTATGATACTATTTGGTACCTTTTTATTTCCCGTAAGTACAGAAAATAGTGTAAATTTTATGTATTTACATTTACTAAGAAATTTTGAAAAAACAAGAAAATATAGTTGGGGTTCTGCAGTTTTAGCCCACCTATACAGTTCCTTGTGCAAAAATGCAGTCAAGGAAAAATGTACATTTTATGGGTGCGCTTTTTTACTACAAGCCTGGGGTTGGTGGAGGATGGAGCCCTTAAACCCCGTCAACAACAACACTTTTGGTTTCCCGTACGCAACAAAGTAAGTCATCAAGTTATATCATTTATTACTATTCATCTCTTCACCAAATATATGCTAAGAATAAAATGTTTTTCATTTCCTTTAGGTACTGCGTGAGGGGTATGGATTACGGCAAGAATCCAAGATTCAATGTCGCACTATACCGCAATCTGTTGGATCACTTAGGCTCGGATGACGTACGTCGTAGCTTTAAGCTTTTCTTCATTTAAATTATTTATACATTACTTTTGCGTTAACCTGATTTAAATTTTATCGCAGTTCGTCTGGAGACTATATTTGGGTTTGGGCCATGATCCAAACTCGGAGGATGCAGCAACTTGGACCGCGAAGACTGTAATCATTCGGTTCGACATTATGGAGATGCACCACAGCGACCGTGTGAAGATGCAGTTCGGAATGCATCAAGAGATACCAAGTGATCTAACTTGTTTGTCCCCATGGCATCTTAAAAGGGTTGACGCCCAGTGGGGTCTTACCAACTGGAAAGACTTCACTCCGGAATGGTGTAAGATGTGGCAGAGGCGTCACCGCTATGTCTTACAATTCCTGGTTTTCCTTAATCATGGTAATATGCGACACACGGATCAATATTTATCTTGGTACAGGTCGGTTAGTAACCCTGAAATGCATGTATCTCATCCAAGGTACTTGGTTGACCCACGCACACAATGGGCACAACCCTCGTTTCCCCAACAACAAACCCAAAACCCATCAACCTCCCACCAACCCCCAAGAAGAAACAGACCCACAAACACCCAACCACAGTCCCCACCACAACACAATTACACTCAAATGCCACACAACCAACCACAATCACCACCTCACTACCAATACCCCGATATGCCTCACACCCAACCATAATACCAATCACAATACCAGCACACCCGCATACCCCACACACAATTTCAGTCTTCCGTATATCCCAATATGGGTCCCTCAACATCCAGCCTTAGCCCTGATATGAGAATGTCGGAAGATTACGAACAAACCGACCCAGCCTACCATCAACCACAATATCACCAAACCACCCAACATCCTCAATACCAAACACCCCAAGATCCATTTCCTTTCTATCCACCGTACTCAGACGATCAATGCTACAGACCCACCATGGAACCCCACCCACCGCCAACACGACCAAACTTTGAGGGTATGGGTAACCGACTGTACCAAAGCGGATCTTCTAGATATGGAGATCTGACTGATTTTATGGATCCGGACCGCATTGACTTCGCTGGGCCATCGACCCTGCCGCAGCAGGAAACGCGACGACACCCAGCACGAGAAAGACGAGGACGGGGATGCGGAACCGGGGGTCATTACCGGGTTCCGGGGGATCACTGATTTATCTATTTTTTTTCCTGTATTTTTTTATCCATTTTTTTATCTGTTTTTTTAATCTGTTTTTTTAATGTAATACAATTGGATGTAATTATTTTTTATAATAAAAAGTCCATTTTGTTGATCCTGTATCCAACACGCAACGCACCGGACAAAAAAAATTAATCAAATTTTGCCCTAAAATAACACTTAGGCGCCATCTCACTTGGCTTAGGGCATGCCCTAAGCACATAGGCGCCAAGTGAGATGGCGTCTCCCTTTAAACAATGGGTGCATGCGCCAATTCAGATGGCTCCTCCTTTGGGGAGTTATCTGAAACATGGTTATTTGCGTAATTTTTTCCGAAACGCGGTTATTGACGATTTTTTTTAATACATGGTTATTCAAAAAAAAAATTCCCACTTTGTAACAATTAAAATTTATCCACACAGATTAATTTGAGCTCGTGTGCTGTGACACCGATTGCAAGGCACAAGGTCCACCGACGGTGTAACACCAACAGAGAGGAATCATATACTCATAGTATACATATGTTTTATATAATTTTATCAAATTTGTAATAAGTTTCTTCAAAACTACAAAGCATTACCTACAAAATATATTAGGTTTTCACTTTTGATACACTACTATTTTTAAGGTCCGATGTATTAGTCACTTTAAAAGGTCGAGGGGTATTATCTTTAAACCTTTTTAATTTATCAAAGCAAAAACGACTTAAAATGACCAAACTTGTTATAAAATTTATATTTAAAGATAGGGCAATTAAATTTCCTCTTATCATACGATCTATCAAGTTTATAACCCGTGTCATTTTTATTAAGTCGTATCTTTTGATTCGAAAGAATTAGATTGAGCTTATCTTCCATCTTAATGAATTTTTTTAAGATTTCATGTAAATAGGTGACATCATTTTTCAAATGATTACAAAAATTACATTTATTTGATTTTAAAGATTCACTTATTGTATTTGCAATTTCTTCACAAAAAGTCTTATTACTATTTCTAAGAATTTTTGACATAATCCTTAAGATTAGTAATGCTCTTCTCTATTTCTCATTTTATTTAACAAACTTATCACTAAACTTAAACATTTGATTATGAATTAGAGAAGTTGCATCAGTATCATCTTCTTTTGAAGTTTTTAGGCACATATTATCTTCTTCTTCAAATTAATTTAACACATGTTTCTATTATTTTTCACTTAACACTACAAATATAATCAATAAATTTATCTGCTCCATCCTTATGAACTACTACTGTTTTCTATTTCTCTTAGTTGCACCTCACCACTTGCTACACACACCCTACAATTTGGGCCTATCGTAAATCTTCAAGCCCATCTTCGGCCCATCAAAAACTAATCTTCATTCCTTCAACGTACCCATGGTCTCTGACTCGCTTTGTCACTCACAATTCCACCTCTGACTCGTCCGAGTCATCACTCACCCCCACTTCATGCATGGAACTTCAGACCCACTTGATAAAGTTTGCATTTTCCCGCCACCCAAATCTCAGAAAACAATTAACGACACTCTATTCCAGCTCTCGTTGTTTTGGGCATGCCCGTAACCTGTTTGATCAAAGTACTGAACCAAATACACTTGTTTCTTGGTCTGCTTTGATATCTCGGTATGTGCAAAATGGGTTTCATAAAGAGGCCTTATTGGCATTTAATGAGATGTTTACGTTGGGTGTTAAGTGTAACGAGTTTACATTCCCAAGTGTTCTCAAAGCATGTTCAATCAAAAAAGATTTGAATATGGGGAAAAAGGTGCATGCCATGACTGTGGTCTCAGGGTTTGAGTCTGATGCATTTGTTTCCAACACTTTGGTTGTTATGTATGCCAAATGTGGGGAGTTTATTGATTCTAAGAAATTGTTTGGTATGATTTTGGAGCCAGGCGTTGTTTCGTGGAATGTCATGTTTTCTTGTCATGTGCAGAGTGGTTTCTTAGGTGACTCTGTTGATTTGTTTAAACGAATGGTTGAGGGTGAAGTAAGGCCTAACGAATTTAGCCTTTCAATTATATTGAATGCCTGTGCTGGATTGCGGGACGGGAGTCTTGGAAGGACGGTTCATGGTTTTTTAATGAAGCTTGGACATGGTTTGGATCAATTTTCTGCGAATGCGTTGGTTGATATGTATGCTAAAGGAGGGAGGATTGAAGATGCTGTTGCTGTTTTTCGAGAAATTATACACCCGGATACTGTTTCTTGGAATGCGGTTATTGCTGGTTGTGTTCTTCATGACTATAATGAGTTGGCTTTGATACTGTTGAATGAGATGAAAAAGTTGGGAACTTGTTGTCCCAATGTGTTTACATTATCAAGTGCCTTAAAAGCTTGTGCTGCAATGGGGTTTAAGGATTTAGGTAGACAGATACATTCTTGTTTGGTAAAGATTGATACTGACTCAGATTTGTTTGTGGCTGTTGGGCTAATAGATTTGTATTCCAAGTGTGAGATGATGGATGATGCAAGAAGAGTTTATGATTTGATGCCAACGAAGAAGGATAGTATTGCATGGAATGCTTTGATCTCTGGTTACTCGCAGTGTGGTGATGACTTACAAGCGGTCTCACTTTTTTTCAAAATGCACCATGAAAATATAGAGTTCAATCAAACTACTTTGTCGACGGTTCTTAAATCTGTGGCCAGCTTGCAGGCAATTAAGGTGTGCAAGCAAATTCATACAATTTCAATGAAGTCTGGAATTTATTCAGATTTCTATGTCATAAACAGTCTTCTTGACACTTATGGAAAATGTAGTCATATAGATGAAGCTTCAAAAATATTCCAAGAGCGCACTTGGGAAGATTTGGTGGCTTACACATCCATGATAACAGCATATTCTCAATATGGCGACGGGGAGGAGGCTTTAAAGCTATATTTGCAAATGCAAGTTGCAGACATCAAGCCGGATCCGTTTGTCTGCAGTTCTCTTTTAAATGCTTGTGCAAACTTGTCGGCATATGAGCAAGGGAAGCAACTACATGTCCATGCCATAAAGTTTGGATTTATGTCTGATATTTTTGCTAGTAATTCTCTTGTTAATATGTATGCAAAATGTGGAAGCATAGAGGATGCTGGTCACGCCTTTTCCGAGATACAGCAGAGAGGAATCGTCTCATGGTCTGCAATGATTGGAGGGTTGGCTCAACATGGACATGGTAAAGAGGCTCTTGAGTTGTTCAATCAAATGCTTGAAGATCGTGTGTCACCAAACCATATTACACTAGTCAGTGTTCTCTGTGCATGTAATCACGCCGGTTTGGTAAATGAGGGGAAACAATATTTTGAAGCAATGGAAGAAAAGTTTGCAATCAAACCTACACAAGAGCATTATGCTTGTATGATTGATCTCCTCGGAAGATCAGGGAAACTAAATGAAGCAGTGGAGCTTGTGAATTCCATTCCATTTGAAGCTGATGGATCCGTTTGGGGGGCGCTTCTTGGTGCTGCAAGAATCCATAAAAATGTCGAACTCGGTAAGAAAGCTGCAGAGATGCTTTTCGCTCTCGAGCCAGACAAATCTGGTACTCATGTTCTCCTTGCAAACATTTATGCATCAGCAGGGATGTGGGAAAACGTTGCGAGTGTTAGAAAGGTTATGAAAAACAGCAATGTGAAGAAGGAACCTGGAATGAGTTGGATTGAGGTCAAAGACAAGATACACACTTTCATTGTGGGAGACAGAAATCATTCTAGAAGCGATGAAATATATGCTAAATTGGACGAGTTAAACGACCTTCTAAGTAAAGCTGGATACAGTCCCGTCACAGAGATTGATATACATAATGTGAACCAAAGTGAAAAGGAAAAGCTCTTATATCATCATAGTGAGAAACTCGCTGTAGCTTTTGGATTATTAGCTACACCAGCTGGAGCTCCAATAAGAGTGAAAAAGAATTTGAGAGTTTGTGTTGACTGCCACACTTTTCTCAAATTTGTATCTAAGGTTGTTTCAAGGCAAATTGTGGTTAGAGATATTAATAGGTTCCACCATTTTAAAGATGGATCATGTTCATGTGGTGATTATTGGTAATAATAATATCATTAAGATGACTCAATTATATACACATACATGGAAAGTGCTTATTCTTACCAACTTGGTTGTAAATCAAGCATACTGATGACACGATGATCCAACGTGGAACAAGAAAGGAAACGCTCAGCATTGCCATTTTCCTCGATCACCACAACACCATCCAACCTCACTGGCCTTTCAGACGCAAAGACAACATTGCCCGATTTCCAGTTCCTGAGGATTGGGGCATGGGAGGCAGTGATTGATACTATGAGCAGTTCTGTTGGCCCTTTGAGAGCTGTTGGTCAATGAAGGATGGCGGTAAGGAAATCAATTTTGTTGATATAAATTTTATCAATTATGTACGTACTGATATCGCAGAAGTTGCCTCAAACTGTTTTTGTGAGGGTTATGTATTTCCATACATCCCTATTGCTTGTAAAATAATTACAAAGGAGGTTCAATAGCTTAATAGCTTGTGATCAAAGGAGAACCACTTCAAGACCACACTGTCTCTCTAGGCCAATGTGAATGTGAGTGTCTTACAAAACAATTCACTGGCTTACAAAATTTGTGAATGCATCTTTTAGAATTCTAGGTCAAATGTCCCACCTTTATGTATGACCAATACACAGTATTGTTGTTGTGTATACTCATGGAACTGTAAATGTTTAGTTTTATTTATCTTAATTCTTAAGTACCATGCAATAATTTTCATTCATTTATTTGGTGTTGGGATCAAATTACATCTTATTTAGTACGACAAAGATATTCTCTACCCTCAATTGGTTAAAATGCATTCATCACTCATTTTTGCCATTGAGGTATAACACTTACTTGTCAATATATCAGTTGTGAACTGCAGTGTATGAGACTAGAAAATCAATTTCACTCTGTTTGTTTAGGATATATGCCATCATTTATTCATAAACAATGTGAGAGTTAGAATTTTCTAAACACTCATAATTTTCTGACAATGTGAGATTTCAGAATTTTTTTCAAAATCATCTCCATATTGAAAATGTTGTTTCCGGTTTTGAAAAAATGCCACAAAGAAAAATTATCGAGACGAGTCGCGTACTAGGTCGCTGTCTTTAAGACGTTTCGTCGTACTGTCAATAGTTATGCAAAACAGTCGAGTTTCGACGACGTCTCCAGGATAAAATAGCACGTTCAGAAATATGATTATTACTTGCACTGTAATAAACTGTTCGAAGAATTACACCTTTAGATGGTATAAAACCAGTCGTAGTATCTAGAATTTTCCAGTCATTGATCGCTTAGTAAGCCAGTCGAAAACAGAAAATAAAATTTTGTAGATGAAGCAGAGTAGAGAAGAGAGAATCCGAATTGTAAATTCTAGAATACTTACAAATGAACTGAAAAATTCTATTTATAGGCAAAGAATCCAACTGAATGGAACAAGTATCGTGGGAGAAAATCCTAGGAGATAATGGAATCGACCCAGTCAAATGCAACCGTTTTTTCACTTGATCAGCAAGTCACACGTATGACTCTTGAAAGACAAGCATAATCAGTCAAAAAATAGATTAAGACTTGATTTTTGTGCGGGACATGTCACCATTTCGTAATAATTAATAACAATTTTTTCAAAATCGTTTCATTATTGAAATATTGACATGTTCAAATAGTTAATGTAATTGTAATCGTTGTGTTCTATAAACACCACTATTATTGACATTTTTTTCATAAATTGAAAATTTATCTTATCAGAGAGAAAAACTCTCACTTCCTCTCAGGTCATCCATGAAAATAGCCTTAATTTAATTTTATTACTACCAAATTTGAAGCAAATAATCTTGTCCATGAAAATGGTTTTAGGAAATTCGAAGCAAATAGTCTAGACAAAGTGAAATAATCTCATATAGTCATACACATAATTGTGAGTATTATGATTTGAATTTCGATAACATCTAATTTAATAATATCGATTTTTGTCAGTTAAATTAGTTTACCATCTATATCATACAACTTTTTAAAAGACAAATATTATCCATCTATATCATACAACTTTTTAAAAGACAAATATTATGTTTAGTAATTTGGTGGGTCACCACTGTCACATATTTAAGATCTTTTTCACAATAATTTTAAAAAACTGATCTATGTAATTTTTGTGCAACTATGGTTTTTCACCATAATTTTCAAATTTTCTAAATAGAATATATTTAATATCTACAATCCAAAAATTCACGAGTCTTGTCTCCTCAATAGGAACAAAAAAAAAAAAAAAACTAGAAATACTAATACTAAATTCCAAGTAAAACAGCATACAAAATTTCATTCCAAGTATCAGGAGCACCAGCTAGACACCAATGACTACAATCCTCATAAGAAGTCCCTAGTCCAGTGTATATAGAAGGATGACCATCTATCCTCAATTGTGTTTGCAATGTAATGTCAAGCCAATAAACATCACTTTTCATGCTACTTAAAACATTCTTAACAATCTCTACTCCTGGATAACTTTGTTTTGTTCCTTCCAATGGCTCACTTCTTCCCATACAATCATTTTCCCTTCAAAAATTCAACAAACATTATAAATTTTGTGCTAAAAAATATTCTCTCAGATCATATGTTCACTGATCAGATATATTAATTATTTAATGAATCTAAAAAATTAAACAAGAGAGACTAATATATTTTATGAAGAATAAACTAAACTAACCCTCCATGTACAGCAGCAATTCCTTGGAATATAACAATAGTCTTTGATGGATCAATGTTAGAATCAACCCAATTAGACCAAGTGGTTAACCCAATCTTAAAAGCTTCCATGTTATCCATGTCTTCCATGATCTCATTTCCCAATTGAAAAAATCTGTCAAACAAAGAGTAACATACATTTCAATTCTCTTTATCACAAAATTTTGTTAAAATTATTGTAAAAGTTTGTAGTTAAAAACTTTACTACGTTTGAATTTTTCCTGTGTGAAACCACCAATGATAGGTATTGAAAATCAAAACATCTCCATGCCACAAATTTCTAGAACTAATAGAATCAAGCTTTAAAATTCTTCCTTTTTTGATATCGCGAAACTTATCCACTAAGTAACCATCTTTCACCCATGTTATTGAAACTTCATACTCCTATTTAACACATGATAATAAGATAACAAAGTTATAAGTTAAGCTGATTAATAAATTAATCTTAATAAAGTCTCGAAAATACCGGAACTAAAGAAGAATACCGAAAACGAGAACATGGAAAGATGTTTGGTTATTCTTGTTAAAGTATAGTTTGATTGTGGAACCGCAATGTGAAGCATGCAAGCGAGTGATTGCCACATATTCTCGCTTATAGAATCTCCTACAAATGTTATCTTCTTCCCTCGATATGTGTTTAAAAATTTCACACCGTCAAACCTGCTAATCAAATCACTAGCTATAAATCACAGACACTAAAAACTCGATATAATACTGAAACTCATTTTTCAGAGGTGTCTGTGTTAAAGATAACAATGAGAAATTATTGAAACATTACCTTTTGAGATCGCAATCAAAAGGCTTCCATCTATATCTGAGGTAATCTTGATCGATTCTACCATTTCTTAGACAATCGAATCCTTGAACTATGAAAGGACAATCACTTGAGGCATCGTAGAGAGGATAGTAAGGATCATCAACCACCCATTTTCCGTTAGAAAAATCGCAATGATTTAATTGGTTTTTTTGGAATGCATTGACATGAGCATGGTAGAGTGAAGGTGTTACTACTACACACAGAACAACAACAAAAATATGTGGTACAAGATGTAACAAGAAATCAAATGTCATTTGGAACTGTCTGAAATCTCTTTCTGATCATGATTGTTTGCCATATGTATAGGTGGGGATGTAATAACAATAACATTGATCCGTTACTTACGTGAGTGAGAGTGTCAAATCTTTTTCTGAAAATAAAATTTAAAAATGTATATGAATAATATTTGTTGTAAATCACAAATTAGTTTTTAAAAGTGTTAACTTGATTTATTTGTAATTATGTCATATTATATATGAATACTATGATTTTTTTTTTACATGGACATTATGGAGTAATATGAAAAGATGGAAAATTCTAAATTAAATAAAGTTTCATCCATGATTAACAAACATTAACACTTGTGTCATAATACTCGGAAGTTGTCATGTTATGAACCAACAAATTAGTCAATAATTGTATAGAACGCTTTAAATAGATCTTTTTAGATTATGAATCTTTTAAAAATTCTTATGATTATATTGAAATGTCAAATTGATATTAATATTTAATTATTCATTATTAAATTAGTCTCTATATTTAACTACTTATTATCAATTTAATCTCTAAAAATACGATTGAATTTGACCCCAATTCGTAAAAGACTAATCTGCCTTAAATTTAAGGCTTAATATATGTTTTAATTCTTTAATTTAATTTAATATTATATTTTACTTCTTTAATTTAGTCATTTATGTCAATTTTTGACAAGTGTTATGGATATACATCAAGGCTCAAAATTCAAATATGTCTTAACTATAAAGTAAGGTTTTCACTTAATGTAATTTTATTGTGACAATCTTTATGACACATATTTAAGTGGAAATCTTACTTTATAACACAAATATTTAGTTACATTTGGACTTTGAGTCTTGTTGTACATCCATGTCACCAAAACTTAACTTCTTTTTTTGTTAGAAATTGACGGAAGGGAACAAATAAGATAACCGAAGTGAGGTTAAAGGACTAACTTATAATATTTTTTAGTTAAAGTACTAAAATGGAATATTAAATTAAATTAAGGAACTTGGAGATTAAATATGCCTAAATTTAACATAATCAATAATTTTTTTAAAAGATTTATTATTTTAAATACTTATTTCACAATGTCCTCCAAATCGAGATTTAATTTGACTAGTATGTAGAATACACGTATATTTATAAGGTTAAATATGTTTTTGGTCCTCATAAATATTTTAGATATCGTTTTTAGTCTCTCATTAAATTTTCTTCAAAAAATTTTCCCCTAAAAATT